ACGACACTAAATACGATCCTCATTAAGGAGTGCGCGACGCTATTCCACGCGCTGGCGTCAACAGCGGCGAGCTGCGGCCCGCGCCGCGGCCCGCGAGCAGCGTGTGCAATTAAAATTCGAACGGGGAGTTAGAACGCCACTCGACGTGTTGCAAGTACTTAGTAGCTCGAAAAAGCGTCAAATTAAAGCAGGTTTGATTTAAAGAGGACCGGACGTGTTGCCGAGTCTCTAACAAAAATTCTGATCGTTTTGCGATTTCAGAAGGCTGGTTTCACGATAACTGGAATAATTTTGTCGCCGTAACAGACAACACACTGGGGGAAAAAACACATTGGATCTAGAGTCCAGACTCTTGAAAACATTGACAAGAAAAAGGACTCTTGATTCAATCAGATTTAAGCTTTGATCAAAAGGAAATCCGCTCAAATTAAGAGGCTTCGTTCTTCATTTAAGCCTAAATCTGATTGAATCAAGTGTATTTTTTCTTGTCGATGTTTTTCAGAGTCTGGATACTCTAGATCCAATGTGTCTTTTTTTCCAGTGCACATTTTTTGGTCATATTTTTAGCAGGAATGATAATCACTCGAATTTTTTCGCATTATTCTTCAAAGGGATACGTATTATAACGATTTCTAATGATTTATTGCTCTACTTCTCAATTGATACTATGTAAATTCCGATAATGTGATGTCTGTTACGCTGTAAAAAGTCAGCGTAACAGACAGCACATTTTCATCCATTTACATATTGAAATTGAAAAATAGAGCGATAAATCTTTGAAAAGCGTTATTACACGTAACCCTGTGTAGATAAGTGCAAAAAACTTTGAGTGATTATCATTACTACTAAATATATGACCGAAAAATGTGTTGTCTGTTACGGCGGTTACGATGACAAAACTATTCCAGTTATGACGAAACCACCCAGTAGTTTTGAACATCTCACTTTACTTGAAACCATCGAAACCTGATTTTACAAGAAATTTTTTTAAGAAAAATTAAACATTGATCATAGTATCCAGTAAACGCCCTCTAATTATTGCACGCACCTAATGATAGTCTCTTTTTAAAAATACCCCGTTTAAAAATATAAGGAACAACTTTATAGGATCAAATTCTCAGGAAAAATTCAAAAAACTATTTTAAGCAACGTTTGAAAACTATTAGGGTACTCATAGTTACACATTTTTACGCAGCAGCCCGAGAGGATGGTAACATGAAAAAAAACCAAGGGAGAAAAAACGGGAAACACGGCTAAAAATACAACAATAAAACACCGAGACGTCTTGATTCAAAACTGAGTCATTTTCAGTCGGAAAATTAATGAAAACTTAAAAACTCTCGAGGGTAAGAGGTTAAACTTAAAAACTTGAAAACCTGGGACCTACATGTTGGTGGCCGAGATGCGAGGGAAAAAACCTAGGCATTTATAGTTCTGGTGAACCCAATGTTTGAAGACATGTTTTTATGTTTGGTTTTAGCAATGAATATAAAAATATTTTAAAAATCATATTTGAAAAACACTTTTGAAGTGCCAAAAAAATATTTAGTAATTATTTTTATCCACATTTCAAAAAAACTTATCAGAAATGTCTTTAAAATGAATAGGAGCTATATCCATCCGGACATGAGCCCTGAGATCCATAAGAATACATGATTGACAGGGCTCAAGTCACGATGTATATGGTTCATTTTTATTTAAATGCGTCCAAATTACATAAAGATTCCTTTTAATGACTCTTAGATTCGAAGTTCCGTCCGAAAAATGTATTTGATTAATATGACTGGCAATAGTACTTACAAATGAAAATTAATTTTTTTAAGTTTGTATCCTAGGTCCTAACCACTGAACTACGAAGTAAGGATGTATAAAATCTACAATCTGTGATGTATTCATCTCTAACCGTCAAACACGTAATTATGTACTGCTCTGCCCTCAGATATCTCCAATCACAGATCTACTCATCTACAATCAACAGAAATACAAACCCTTTTACATGCGATGAACCCAATGTCACTGCCAAAATTCTGAAACTCTTCACCTCTCTTAATATAAAAATCTATATTTTCGTATGCACACACATTTTCAAAATTCTCTGCAAAGACATTAATAGCCTGTGGCGCTGAATGTCTTAAAATATATTAACTAACTTACTTCTAAAGATACTTTTCAGTCACTCATTCAAGCATCCTCCTCCACAAGAACCATACATGCCGTATCAAAAATAACCATGCAGTCGCTGGAAATTCATGGAATACATGTATTCTATTCAAAGAACACAGCTACCTCCGCTAACATATCGTCAAAATACGACTTGCAGGAAGATTTTCCGGATCCAATAAAGCGTAACTCACACAGGAGTTTCCAAAAATAAGTAGCCGAATCTGCTTCGTCCTCCCACACCAATTCGACCCCCCCCCCCCCCCCGCCCACTAAATCCCTGTAGCCCTACAGCTTACATGCCCCGACCCGAATCCGGCATCTGTCTCAAGAGATGCATGAGAAGCGGCAGTGCTGTTTCTCTCACGCGGAGTTGTCAGATCTGTCCGATAAGTCGCAGTTTTTTCAAAAAGTCCACTGCACATACTGCCGTGCTAAGGAAGTGCGCCGTATGAACATTCAAGAGTTGCCAAATTTACCATGATAAAACGTGTATTTTTGACAACATTTGTGCATATTTTTCCTTGAAATTGGCAGATATTTTATATTAAATTGCGTACAAAATGGAGATGCTGCATGTGTGAGGAATTTGCGATTTGACTGTTGATTATAATGTAAAAGTTCGTGAGGAACACGATGGTGACACTGGTTCTCTCTAAAATCAACACCCAAGCTCAAAAATAAGCTCTCAAGTTGAGGCCAAAATGGAGGGGATATCCCACGCTATCCTGAGAGTCCACCTCTACATCAAGACGAACTCTCCATGCAAAGATAGGGAGCAAATACATTAGCAGGGTTGCCACTTTATTTGGGGACTCCTAAACTGAAAACACGGCATAACTGCTGATGTATTTGCTCCCTATCTTTGCATGAAGAGTTCGTCTTGATGTAGAGGTGGACTCTCAGGATAGCGTGGGATATCCCCTCCATTTTGGCCTCAACTTGAGAGCTTATTTTTCAGCTCGGGAGTTGATTTCAGAGAGAACCAGTGGCACCATCGTGTTTCTCGCGAACTTTTACATAAGAATCAGTAGTCAAATCACAAATTCCTCACACATGCAACATCTCCATTTTGTACGCAATTTAATATAAAATATCTGCAAATTTCAATGAAAAATATGCACAAATGTTGTCAATTTTATGTTGAGGAGGGGCAATTTTATGTTGAGGATTTGTTAGAAAAAAGTTCCATTCCAACAACTTTTGATCCAATTACTCAAAATTTCGTTTGTAGACATATTGCTCTGTTCGGTAACGCGCAAGAGAGGAACTTAAACTTGCGAGCTGACAAGAGCGCTATCTCACGTATACATAGTTTTAACGAGAGACCCTCGAAACAAAAATACAAGGAAACGCATAAAGTTCCGGGGCAAAGAAAACTTCATGCCTCTGCGGTCGGAATTTAAATGTAGGAGTCAAAAGATTCCCAAAGACAAGCGGTCGCTTCAAAGGTATCATTCTCCGATCTCAGAACAACTTCCTCACTCCAGGCGGAAATATCCGAGGAAGGAATTTGTTTCGGTGGGTGAGTAGCTAAAAATGTCGAGGAAGTTGTAAATCGACCATGTGGTGGGATGATACGGAGCAACTTCATGTGGATGAACTTCGCGGACGACGCGTAACTTGCCTCACGGAAAGAAATTAAATGTTGATTTAGCATTTACACTGTTAAAAAGATGTCTGACAAGTTTCAAATGCTAATTTTACATTTTAACAAATGCTAACGTAACTACGCCCACTGCAAAACGTACCAATTAAAATGCTATGTTACCACTTTTTTTATTGTAAGATCAGCATTTGAAACTTGTCGGACATCTTTTTAACAATATAACTGCTAAATCAACATTCAATTTTTTTCCGTGTACGGTAACTCAAGCTTCTCATAAAATGTTTCAATAGAAAACCAATCAGGACAGGATTTGTGTCTTCCATACTTTAAAATTTTCAAATTCATAAATTGATTTTATTTTGCTTATTTTACTCATGACGTTTTGTGAATGAGTATAATATCATGTATTGAGCTGGGTGCAATCTCAGAGATTTTGAAACCAGGGAAAACCAGCGTTCATACCAAATTGATGAGATTTTTTTCTCATGAAGTTTTGTGAATGAGCATAATATCATGTATGGATCTAAGCCTCTCCATGGGGCCAGTGGCCATACTCTCTTAATATACACTGAAAAAAAATTCTCGGCGTTTTTACCAAGGTCCGTTGGTACCTTTACAATCTCACTTCTTTTACCAATTATTGGTAATTTTACAAAGACAGACTGGTAAGCTTACCTAAAAACCGGTATTTTTACTGCTTTTTCCAGGTAAGATTACCTTTTTTATTGGTAATCAATTCCCGGTAGCTTTACCATTTTATCTCGGTAATTCTACCACAGTCGATAAAAAATATTGGCGTTTTTACCAAGCTCCAGTAAAATTACCGAGAAAGTTCAATAATTTTACCGAGATTTCTCGGTAAAATCACCAATTCTATAAATGGTAATTTTACCAAGAAAAAACTGGGATCAAATAGAACCCTGAATTCTTGGTAATTTTACCCTTTTCTTAGTAAATACACCGATATTTTTTTTTCAGTGCCCCCGGTCATACAAACCACACATACATATAAGGCGCTTTACAGCACTCCCTCGCGCTCTACGACTCCTAATCTCCACTGCTCTCTTTCAAACCACAAATCTTGGGGGATTGAGCACCTTAACATTTCCGCTTCAATCCCTTCCCTCCAACCTTTCATTGGGCGCCCTCTGCGTCATACAAACTACGTTACTTTAATACTGTACTTTCAGCAGATTGGTACTAATTGATGCTCCTGGTTTGTTTGTTGCAGCACTGAACATATCACGGGGACTGGCGCGACGGGGACGGGCTGCGCGGTGGCGGGGGGCTCGTACCCCGGTTCGGCGCGGACCTCGGCGACGACCTCCTTGGCCTCCTCCCGGGAGTCCTCCTGCGCCTCCTGCCCGGGGATCACGGCCCCCTTCCGGGTCCTCATGCTCGGCGGCTGCGGCGTCGGAAAGTCCTCCCTCATCTCCCAGTTCATGACCTCAGAGTACCTTCACGCCTTCGATGCCTCAATAGGTAAGACCTATATCATCTCTCCCTAATGTGCTTGTTACACGCTCAAATTCCTATCAATTCCCGATCAAATGGTGACTGGTGCGCACCATCTACCATCAACTTTTTGCGGCCTGCAAGAATTTGATGGTAGATGACGGAACTGTGGGGCTCATCCTTCATCTGGTTTCCACATAACCGTACTTATTTCATGCTTATTACAATCAACACGCTGTTTTAATTAATTTTACTCATCAATCTAGATAACTCTCCGACCGCCATCTTGGTCATCATTTTGATCGGAATTTGACGGAAATTTGAGCGCATCACCAGGCGATCAATATGAAAAGTATGGATGGTCGATGTCGCAGGCAATGGAGATGTTGCATGGGTGAGGAATATGCGATTTGACCATTGATTCTATTGTGAAAATTCGCGAGAAACACGATGGTCCCACTGGTTTTCTCTGAAATCAACTCCCAAGCTCGAAAAAAGCTCTCGAGTTGAGGCCAAAATGGAGGGGATATCCCACGCTATCCTGAGAGTCCACCTCTACACCAAGACAATAACTCTCCATGCAAAGATAGGGAGTAAATACATTGACAGGGCTCCCACTTTATTTAAGGACTCTAAAACTGTAAACACGACAACCCTGCTAATGTATTTGCTCCCTATATTTGCATGGAGAGTTTGTTTTGATGGAGAGGTGGACTCTCAGGATAGCGTGGGATATCCCCGGCCATTTAGGCCTCAACTTGAGAGCTTTTTTTGAGCTTGGGAGTTGATTTCAGAGAAAACCAGTAGCACCATCGTCTTTCTCGTGAACTTTTACATAAGAATCAATAGTCAAATTGCAAATTCCTCACACATGCAACATCTCCATTAGTAAAATCAGGCATTTTGTTAAACGCCTAGGCAAATAGTTTAATGCTATTATTTAAACTGAAATTCTGATCATTTTGCTGACTGTTGACAAAATAATTCTCTGATCATGCGGAAAAGAATTCCCTACAAAAACTTGCTCCATGCGATCATTAATACGTTTTTTCTAGCCCTTTGATGCGAGTTTATCTCAAAATATGCAGAATTTCGTGAAATAAAAAGTTTTTACAATTTGGACAGATGAAGGATTATGAGGAGCATTTTTGAATGGGATATAAAATGACAGTTTGCACTTTATTGTCTCAGAATATTGAAAATTAGAAACAAAATCTGGGATTTTGACATTTCCACACAAAGATCGATAACATATTCGGATCGGCTGCTTGTTTCTATTTTTTTTCATTTAAGACAAACCTTTAAATAATGCAAATATTTTAGCCGCAGTAACACATTTATTTGACCTAGATTACTTTTTCAATTTGCTTTGACGTACGGATGAAATCTCACTGTGCAAACAGTCACGTTGGAAAGATCGTTTAAGAAAATATCTGCATTACAGAATTGCCATATTTTCAGGTGAAGATACAAACATGTTCCGCCAGATCGGCGTGCAAAAATTTAAAATATGTAATTGATTTGTTACTTTCAATTAGACTCTATTTGGCAATTCGTGACTACAATTTCTTGCCCATCGGCAAAACACGTACGTACGTGCATAGGAAAAATCGCACTTACGTCGTTTCTAAACTGACCATGATATTTTAGTCTCTAATTTCAAAATTTGGTTCAATTGGGAATAACACGATTCTACTATGTAAATATAGTTGCTTCGTGCTTCTCTTCCAAGGTTAATTTATGCTCCTTTTTCACCTACAACTCAATTCTAAATGAATCCTCATAAGAAATAACCGGAATTCTAAAAAATTAATTAGTAACATTTTTGTAAAAGTAACCGGAAAGATGCATTGGACGCGCTTCGTAAAAGCGAAATTTACTCCAAAATTGATACCTCTTGATAATTAAGGGAACTTTTTGACAGAAAATCCGAGAATAAAGCTGCTTCGAGGAAATCTTTTTTCTCTAGAGCAGTGCGACCTATCATATCAAAATTCTGCCCCTTTTTCGCAATTCAACAACATGTTGCAGCGCGAAACTGCAATTTCTGACTCATTGTCAGTTTAGAAACAACATATGTACCAATAGTTTTCCTATTTACATGGGTGTTTTTAGTGTAGCCGCGCTTTGCGGTTCTCAATCGCAAAAAGTTTGATTGCCGGAAGTCCTTTGTATGACGAGATCGCTTCCCTGTAGCTGAAAATGGAAATTTCTACGATCTCCGATCAAAATTGAGTTCCACGATCAAAATATAAACTCACAATGGAGCAGTTATATTCAGAATTCTCGCTTTGTAATTGACCTTTTCGATCCATCGGTCTATTTTAAGCCCCTTTTTGATCCCAAAAGCAGAGCTTTTTACCCACTCACTACCGTGATAGCAAAGAGAGCAGTAAGGGTCAGTGGCGTAACGGACTTCCGCTGGGCCCCCCCGCAAAATTTTTTCTAAGGCCCCCCCCATGTCGATAAAATTCCAAAATTATTCCCCCCCGCTCCCGCCCCTTCCCATTTTTTTGCCCGAGACATCTCAAATCACGGACTTGGAATGCCTCACCCCTCACCGTCCCGGATCCCTTACCCGATTAAATGGGGCCCCTAAAGGATCAAGGATCTAGAGGGTGGCAGGGGCCCAGCCCAGGCCCAAGAATCAAAGGGCCCCCGAGAGCCTTGGGGCCCTTTAGGTTCTTGGATCTCCCAAAGCCCGAATTACGAAAAGTGACAAAAAAGAAAAAATGTTTAGTAATCACTGAGTAGACATTGCAAGGCAGGGGCCCTCCAGCAAAGAAAAAGTTAGGAACAGTCCGAAAGAAGTATAAAATACTCCGTGCTAACAATAAAAATCAGAGGAAGAAGCCCCATCTCGGTAAGTAAAGGCCCAAAGTTTGAAACCAAAGCTAAGCATCAAAAAGAGAGAGAGAAAAAAAAATTCCGGCGGCCGAGGGCCCCCTAGGCGCCTGGGCCCCCCTGCATAGCAGGGTCTGCGGGGGCGCCCGTTACGCCACTGGTAAGGGTCAAATTTTCGAAATCGAGTTCCCTTCGAAATTCGTCTGATCTCTTCTAGATAAAATCACTGAAATAGCTAAAACAGCAAAATTCATCTTATATAAAGTCGCTTTTATAGCGCTCTCTGGCGCTCTGCGACTCCTAGCCGCCAAAGTTCCCTATCCTCCCAAAGCCCTTCAGGGAGTTGGCAAACCCTCATTTCTTCTAAAAACCCTTGTCGCCACCCTTTCTTTGGGCATCCCCTTCGTCTCCTCCCGGGAGGAACCCAATCGAGTATCTTCTCCGGCATAGCCTTTCGTCCGTCATTCTATTGACATCACCACACCAGACAAGCTGTCTGGTTATGACGTCGAATATTATGTCATTTTTGACTCCCATGATCTGACGCACTCTTACATTGCGGACCCGATCTCTCCTGAAATTCCTCTAGTAATTCCTGCAGACCTCCTCCAGAAATCCTTCTCCGTTGCTCGTAGCATCCCCTGTGTCCGTTCCTTCAGCCGCCAAACTTCACATCCACATGTAAGAGTACAAATGACTACATCGTCAACATTCAAAAATTCATCTTAATTGTATAAAAACAAGACCTGTGAGAAAGCCGCAAGTGCGCAAAAAATGATGTGGTTTCAGACAAAACAACAGTATGTAACATTATTCTTCCAGCGAGCCGACGAAAACAGTGCTTTCGAGTAAAGTACCTCCCTCTTCTCCGAATTTCTAACATGCAAATGTGTTTATTGCAAGTCCAAAATAAAACCACGAAAGCATGCAGAAGATAGCACTTACGGCTGTCTTGCCTAACACTATCCTAACATGAAAATGAAAAATGCTCTTTTTTATATAATTGAAATAAAATCGGTCGATTTTTAGCCATCCAATCGATTTCTCGGGGACTTTCGGAGGATTAGAGGCAATTTGAGAAAGAACGGGGGCTTCTTTTGATTTCATGATAATTATAATCCTTGTATAAAAACGAGACATTTGAGAAAGCCGTAAGCACGCCAAATATGACGTAGTTTCAGGCAAGACAACAGTAAGCGACAATATTTCTCCAGAGAGCCAATGAGAACAGCGCTTTCAATTAAAGTGCCACCCTCCTGCCAATTTATAGCCTGAAATTTGTTTTTGTGGTAGCATTCACTGATGTCTTGCCCGATAATGGCCTATCATGAAAATGAGAAATACACTTTTTATGTAATTGAAATAAAATCAGTTTATTTTTAATCATCCAAACGATTTCTAGGAGTCTTTTGGAGGATTAGAGGCAATTTGACAAAGAACGGAGGCTTCTTTCAATACAATTTTCCGGTCAGACGCTTCTGAGCCCGTTTTCTGAAAACTTCCTTTTTGCACTTACTGCTCTCTTCGCTATCACGGTAGCACGCTTAGCAGAGAGGAACGAAGCCACATCAGCCAATGCCAAGCTTAATTGGGCAACTTCATTTTTCACATGAAAACGGTTGTGGGGAATTTAGTGCGGAATTCTGGAAAAGTTCAAACTTCGGTGAATTTGCTGCATGGTAAGAAGCAAATTCTTCAAGCAGGCTTCTTTCAGTACAATTTTTCGGGCAGACGCTTCTGAGCCAGTTTTCTCACAACTTCCTTTTTGCACTTACTGCTCTAAAAATGCTCTTTTTACGTAATTTAAATAAAATCGGTCAATTTTTAGTTATCCAAACGATCTCTAGGAGTCTTTCGGAGAGGCAATTTGACAAAGTACGGAGGCTTCTTTCAATACAATTCTCCGGTCATTGTCATACGCTTCTGAGCCCATTCTCTAAAAACTTCTTTTTGCACTTTCTGCTTTCGTCGCTATCACGGCAGCGTGATCCCTCACCCTCGAAAAATCGAGAATTCACAGGTCGTTAGCGACAACGTGGCGAAATGCATGTGGGTTTCAATCAAACCACCGACGCAATCTCCCCGGTGCACGCCTAGCCGGACGGACGCCGCAGATGGTGGTCACTGGTCAGCGGTACTTTCAACCTGAAAAAATAAATATGGAAAGTCGGAATCAATATAAA